AGAGACAGAACAGGAGACTGTTTTGGCATCAGCTACTCACAATTTATGAACAAGGTGGTTTCGGAGATCCTGAGTAATGTCTTCATGCCACTGCTTCCGGCTGCCCCCTGACGGGACGGCGGGACGGGGGAGGCGCCGCGCCCTCAGGGACTAACAGCCGAGGAGGGCGGGCGGAGGCGCCCAGCGGCCGACACCGCCTCTGAGGCGGGCAGCGTCCTTCAGTGTACGCAGTTGTTATTATTTTGGGGTTTTTTTTAAATATCCCGTGATTCGGGATCCTCGGGCAGAATCTTAACGACGCAAGTGCGACGCCGCCAGCGTGTTTCCTCCAGCCGTGGCACACCCTGCACTGGGTAAGAACGGAACAGCCCACGCAGGGGTAGGAGATTTAAGCCGTTGCTGTTTTCTAGTTCTTTCTCATGGGCTGCGGAACTTACAGAAAAGCCTTGTCAGATCATCCTTAATGTTACCTTGATGGTCTTAGGTATTTACAGCAACTTGTCATTAAGTCACACTGTGCATTAGCCATAGCGATTAGTTGATGTGTTGAACAAATAATCCAACCCTAGACCCAACAAGCATCCATCCCAGTTAAGAGCACAGACACTAAGGCTGTAAGTATATGTCAACACATCTCTACATACAATCATAAAAAAGTAAAAGACTGTGTCCAGATTTTAAAAACAACAGCTATGCCCAATTCCAAGGCTGTCCTGAAAAGGAGAGAGAATAATTAACTCTCTGGGAGATAAACCTCAGTTTGAGGTACTTAGCCTGTCCCAGTCCTCCAAGAAGTCTGGCTGTCGAGTGCTGGGCTGTGCTGCCTGTTCGATTCCTCTGCAAGCCTGGGAAGATGTGGGGCACCACAATGTCCTGCCAGGTCACTTTCCCCAGCAGAAGGAGTAGCCCGGAGGACCAGTGAATCCAGGTAATATCAGAAGACAAGATGCTACAACACCCATCTGGCCTGGCACATAATATGCAGTTAAAGGTAGAAACCCTTTTACATATGCATTCCCAAGTAGCAGTTAAGTACCCTCTCTCATAGTTTGTGGTGACACCAGGGAATTGGGCCCAGATGACAGAGAAAAGGCTTGAAATTCTTCAGTACAATCTCAGTCTGAGAAAACAGTGAGCGAACAGAAGAGCACCAGAAGCCTTTATTTTTAAATTAATGATTTCTGGGTTCTGACTTCTGGTGGCTCTAACCCAGCCAGTGAATGCAGTTACAGACTGTTAGACCCAGGTCACACCTCAGGCCTTAGGCTGCCCTGGCTTTCAATCAACGGGCCAGGTGAGATACCCATTCTGTGGCTCCCAAACCCCTGCTCACCAGGGAGTCATTGACTGGGAGTTTGTTTCAGTGCCACACTCCAATCTTCACACCTTATTGATTGAAAAAGGAGGAAGGAAAACCCCACAAAATCATCCTGGAATTAAGCCTTCTGATTTTAACCTATCCCAGTGCTGGACAAAGATTTGCTTTGGAATAATAAATCCTGTTCTCCCCTTGATTCTCTGGAGCCAGGTGAATTGTGGGAGAAACACCTATGAGCTTCTGTATCAGAAAATCATTGAGTCTAACAGGGAATGGAAATGCTTTAGTCTCACTCTCCTGCCACACCCACCCACCCAGCCTTAGCAGTACAAACAGTTTAAAAAAGTCCATAAGGCTATATAGGTGCCTGACAAAAAGCATCACAAGTACCAGAGTGTGGCCTAGAAGCCTCTGTCATGGCAGAACAATGCATGATCCAAGGAAGAACCTGGCTTTAAAACAGTGCACTTGTTTTATTCACAGTTTATCATCACAGGGTGGATGCAGAGACCAGATTCCTGAATACCTCTTCAAAACAGTCACAAGAGAACAAGGATGCCATAGGTACTGGCTTTGAGTCACTTGGGGGGCCATTTATATTCAGCTTCTCTTCTCCTCCCCATGTCCTCCAGCATTCATTCCACCCTCACCCCAGTCATTTTGAGAAGTGGCATCTCTGGGCTGGCTGCTTTGGGGCCCCTGTCTCCTACACCAACATCACCATCTGCACACCACTGCCAGAAAAGCAGTGATGGGAAGCCCTGCTGCCTGAACACCGTCCTGCAGGACATTCATACCAGTCCTGTCTGCTGCTTCCATCGTTGTCTTCCACCTTGTATGGGCAGCTGAAGCTGCAGGGTGGCTCCTAGTGACTCCAGATGAGCACAAGTGAGCTAGCTCATCTTGTCTTGCAGGTTGCAGAATGCCAGCTGAGCTGGGTGGTGTGTGCTGTGGGTTTCAGTGGCAATACTGAGCAAGGACAGAGATTTGTCTTGCCTGTGGGTTTGCATGACTCAGTGTAGACCACAGACTGGATGCTGTTTGGGATACCAACTTAAAAAGCCAGTCCCAATGTTTGGATGGATAGATGTAATCTTCACCACAGCTGTGATCAAAGCAAATTAAATTCTTCACTTCAGCACAGTATTGATGTAGCACCACAGTGGGTAGCTAGTGCCTCTGCTGCAACCTGTTGTCATCTCTCCTTTCCCCAGAGGAACATTTCAGATGTTCTTAAAACAGAAAAGAAAATGTGTTGCTCCACGAACCAAGCAGGCTGCATGAGTTGTGTAGGGACAGGCATCCTTCTCATCCCCCACATCCCCCCACATGCCCCTGTAATATCTTTTCAGGCAAGATACAGCACATGGTCCACAATCCAGGAGAGGAACAGCATGGGTTATAGTAGATGGACTAAAAAGAAATGTCCAAAATATGCCCCAAGTGTTTTCTTTAGAGAAACTTGAAGTTACCGACCTGCTGCCAGAAGAGTGGAACACATCTGCACAGGAAGAACACTGTTTTTCCCCAGCTGCTGCTGTTGCTCTCATTGCGATCTCAAGAAAGCACAGGAAAAGCAAATGTCCGAAGGACCTTTAGCTTAGGGAGTTGAGGTTGCTATGAGTGGAAGATGAGACCCTGGATTCCAGTGCTATGTTTCCAGACCCCACTCCTGCCCACCCCTGTGGCCAGTACCCATGGCAGTAGTGCAGAGGGCTGGGCCCTGTTTTGCCAGGCCTCATTTCCCAGACAAAACTTCACACCCAAGCCCTGCTTTCCAGCCCCTGGAGATCCTTTCTATATCAGCCCAGGGATGCCCCTACATTTGAGGCCTTGCTTCACCAGCCCCAGAGGCCCATGCTGCTGCGACTGTTCCTTCCACAGGGTAGGCAGCTGTACCTGCATTCTTTCCCCATTTTGGAAAGGCTACAACATTGTGGGGCAACAATGACAACAAAAGGGGAAAGTGAAGAAGAAAACAAACCTAAGCGAAGGACTCCTCACTTTTCTGGGCAGCAGAATCTATGCCTTTTCATCCAGAGGATCAGGACTGGCAAAGAGCTTTCTTCTTGTAATGCTACTGTCACTACCTTCCAATTCCTGCTATTGCCCTGGGGACTGCAGAGGTATGGGGAGACGCAAAACACCCACTGACATGTAGCTCTGTGCTCCCAAGACACACCAAAGCCTGCCACCACCCAGTACACCTAGGGAAAACAACAGTCTGAGACATGTCAACTTCACCAGGAGCTATGAAGAACCCTTCATAGCCCTTCAAAGATGGCTATGGGAGACGGTGCCAATAGCAATTCTTCCACCCTCCCTAAATCCACCACACTGCCTACAACAGGGAGCGTAGACTGGAGCTGTGGCTGATTGCCCATCAGTTACCCACAGCACCAGTTACAGAACAGGTTTCCGTTTCAAACATCCACCATGCGCAGGATTCCTGCTGGGGAGTTACAACCAAGATCCTGTTCTAAGGTAGTGCAACTAAGGCAATTCAAGCAAATCATCAAACCCCTGTTTTTCTAAATGGAGTGCCAGATTGAAGGCGGGCAGGCAAATGCCAGTGCACACAACATGCCTTCAAGGCTGATGTAGCAGCTCGGTGGCTTTTCAACTGTGATGCAGGCATAGAGGCTGCCAAAACCACTGCCGATGGAACCCGTTGTGCTCTCACACTTTCAGGGGCTGGGCTAGGCTCTGTCTCAGGCCAGGATCTATAGCATGTGATCTGTTTTGACAAGATGAGGGAGGAAATGGTTCCTTGTGCAAACTGACAGTTACCCAAGGGTTGTGTTGTACGAAGGCAGCTGCTAAGAGGGTTTATAAAAACAAAACATTCCTCAGAGAGGGCAACATATGGCTGTTCTTCAAAGAAAAGCTAATTTTAAGGGTAGGAGGCCCCTTCACACACTTAGGCAGAATCACTCACTCCAGACTCTCCAGAGAGGCTGGGCCAGAGTCCTTGAGTTTGGTTGGAACTGGGAGTAGCACAATCAAGAACATGGTGTTCGTAAAAAGATCATATTGGAAACAGGAGGTGGAGTTTCTTGCAGAGGAACTGTGTATCAAACACTGGAATAAGCACTGGAAAAGGAAGCAGAAGCTGGAATGGCTGTCAGTGTCACATTATGTACTTCAGCCTCCACCTGCCACCACTCGTAAGAGGCTACAAGCTCTGCACTATGTGAATAACTTGGGCCCTGTCAGGATTTGTCTGGACTTTTCTTGGCCTTCCAGGAGCTGTGTTGTAGCTTGTTGCACTGTTACAATTGTCTAATGACTGTTCTTGTCCTCTCTCTCTCTCCCTGCCGCCCCAACACTGTTTTAGTTTTTGTACAATTATCTGGTGTGACACTTACTGTGTATATATTATTGTGACTAATAGCAGGTACTAGGGAGAAGCCCATGTAACTGCTGGGCCTAGAGCGCAGCTTCCAGAAAGCAACTAATAGATGCAGGGGTTTGCACAGTGGGATGCACAGGGGGGGTCAGGGTCCCCCGCGCTCAGCAATGACGGTGATGTGCCACATGGCACGGTCTCCCACAGATGCTGGAAAAGGTCTCCCTGTAATGTTTGAGCCTCCACCCAGATTGAGCTCTCCTGTGGGAGGATATGACTTTGCAAGTCTTGTGCTGCAGGGAGTGTTTGCGGCTTCTCACTTTGGCTGAGGCTGGGGAAGAACAGGATCTTCTTGGAGACCCTGCAGTTTCAAGAGCCTGACCCCCCCATCTGTACTGAAGGTGGAGTCTGTGCTCATTGGGTGGGGAATCAGTAATGAAAGCTGGAA